ACCCGGATGATGTCTGGGAACTTTCAGTGAACTCGTCGAAATGCGCTAATATACGCCTGGGACGAGAGACACCGGACATTCATTTTGTGATGAACAACGACTCATTGCGTTCGGTGGCTACCGAGCGGGATTTGAGAGTCATCATCTCTTCATCCATGAAAACCCAGATAAACACCGTGCGAGCATGTTCTGCGGCAAGGAGCAGGCTAGGTGCCATCCGTCGGTCATTTGACGGCCTATCGTTGACTACCTTCAAGAATGCTTTCAACCCCCATGTTTGGCGCCGAATTGAATACAGTGAACCCACCGTATACCCCTGTAGGCTTTCCGAAATTCGCCAAATTGGAACGGGTACAGCGCTACGCCACTCGCCTAGTTGCGGGATCAGCTACGAAGGTCAGCTCCAGGCACCTAAACTTTACCTGGTTAGCTACAGCCGACTCCGTGGAGATTTAATCAATCTGTGGAAGATTCTACGCGGCGATCTGGGACGGGAACTACGTGCTATGTTTCCACTGCGAGAATCCAACCGGACGCGCAGCCACAGGCTCACCCTACGGAAGCTGGAGTCTTCGGGGCTTCCTTTGGTCTATCAGCTTTCCCCGAGCGCTGCTTCGCTCTGGAATTCACTCCCGTCGGAGGTGGTGGAGGAGCAGAACGAGGTACGATTTAAACGCCGTCTCGACGAGCATTTGGTGAGACGGTGACAGCTTGCAGACCACTGAGCGGGTTGCTATCGGTGCCGGAGGTGATGAGGCTCATACGGCGCGTGGCTCCTCTATCTTCTAAAAATGAAGATGAAGATATATCCTTATGCGTCTCTATGGTCGTGTAAACGTCACAGTATTGGTATAAGCTGCAAATGCCATCAGCTGGTACCCGACGTCCTCGAAGTGTACAGTTTAATGTGGCCATGGATGCATGTTGGGCGGAAACGTTCTCCGAAGGTAATACTTAGGGTGAGAACATTAAGAATAAATTCTACTTTAGCCGGAGTTTTGTGAAATGGAGTAAACTCGGGCTTGATTGTTGGCATTGTTCTCAAACTGATCTATGATCTGTGTATGTGTACTTGTGCATGTGTACTTGAGGTCTCCAACCAATGAGGCGAGGAGATATCCTTGCTTGTTTTCCTCCCTTTTATCATACGCCCAAGGAGTCAACGTTCTGGCAACGGGGCTAAATTAAGAGGATCACAACTGCCTAATCAACTGAACTCATTGTTGGGAGCTACTCCCATCCGCCGACGACACAACGAACTGGACATTCGATTGACGAGCCATATTCGTCCTGTGGAAACTGAACTAACCTAAACTGAACTGAAAGTCGAGTGCAACCTGGGGAGTGGTCAACTGCACCAATGTGCACAACTTCAAGGTTGCACTAGATGCTTGTTGGCTGGAAATGTTCCCTGAGTTTAGGTGGTAAGGTATCGTCAATGAGACCCAGGTAAATTGCTTCCTCGAACTGAGGAATGGGGCTTTTTAATTGTACTTGAAACTGGTATGTTTCAGAAAACTAAGGTCTCTCACTGATGAGGCCAGAAGGCATCTCTTCTGTTTTCACTTTTCTAGCTCGACTGAGAAAACCTGGGTGAAGAAATTCAGAAAACGCAGTGTTGAGCGCCAAGAACACCTACCGACAATACAATAATCTAAACGCTCGATTGACAAGAGCCATTATTCATCCTGTAAAGACTGTGAAGACTTCGAGTGGATGTTCTTGCTACACCCGTGAGCGTGCTCTTCCAAGTGTCACCAGCGGACGGAGATCTACCCATTGTCTGGTAGATAGCTACTGTGGTAGCGCTTCACAAAGGTGGTCAGAAATCCGACAAGAAAATATAGACCAGTAATCTTAAGCAGCATCCTGTGCAAATGCATGAGAAGCTGATTAGGGAACATGTATGTCGATATCTACTGCGTTACACCCTACTAAATGGGGCGCAGCATGGATTCTTAAAACATAGATCCTGTCTCACTAACCTTCTGTGCTACCTGAGTGAAGTCACAGAAAAGCTAGATGAGATCCACACCATCGAGATTTGCTACCTAGATTTTAGTAAAGCTTTTGACTCCGTGAATCGCAGATTGCTCCTTCACAAAATCAAAAGCTTGGGGTTAGGAGGTAATCTGCATGGGTAGTTAACCGCTTTTCTCACAAATCGAACCTTCGCAGTGAGAATAGGTGAGGCCAGTTTTCTGGTCATTTGATTGACCAGTGGAATGCCTCAAGGTTCGGTCCTCAGACCGTTACTCTTCCTTTTATTCATCAATCAATTAATGGGGTTAACCTACTCACCTTGTTTTGTCTTCGCGGATGACGTGAAGGNAGTGAGATCCAGCGGCAGGCTAACCTAGCGAGCGTCATTGTTCGGGTGATTGAATGGTCAAATAAGTGGGACTTGGCACTGAATGCGACCAAGTGTTAAGTATTGACAAAGCAAACAGATCCCTTAGTTGCAGTCGGTACGTGGGGAGTGTTCCAAGTCAAATCGGTAGAAACTGCCAAGGTTCTTGGGGTAGTAAAGACTTCGGATTTCAGATGGGGCAGCCAATGCGAAATCGCAGCTCGCAAGGGACGGGGAAAATTTTCCGGCTCAAATCTGCTCTATCTTGCAGAAAACCGGAAATCTTTGTCCCCTTATGCAAAGCAATAGTAAGGTCTCATCTAGAATACTGTGTCCAAGCCTATAATAATAAAAATAATAATAATAATAATGGTATATTCCTCGGATTACAACGAGAGACATGCATGTGGTGCACGATCATGGCAGGCAA